CAGCTATAAAGTGTTTGTAAAACCTAACATCTTCATTGCTCCTTTTTGGTCTGAAAATGGGTCGTGGATGGGGTGTCCCAGCATGACAATGACCCAAAAAAACACACGGCCAAGGCAACAAAGGAGTGGCTCAAGAAGAAGCACATTAAGGTCCTGGGGTGGCCTAGCCAGTCTCCAGACCTTATTCCGATTGAAAATCTGTGGAGGGAGCCGAAAGTTCAAGTTGCCAAACGTCAGCCACCAAACCTTAATGACTTGGAGAGGATCTGCCAAGAAGAAATGGGCCAAAATCCCTCCTGAGATGTGTGCAAACATGGTGGCCAACTACAGGAAACGTCTGACCTCTGTGATTGCCAACAAGGGATTTGCCACCAAGTACTAAGTCATGTTTTGTGAAGGGGATCAAATACTTATTTCCCTCATGAACATGCAAATCAGTGCACAATTTGTTAGAGATGCATTTCTTTTGAATTTTTTGTTGCTATGCTGTCTCTCAGTGTTACAATACACCTACCATTCGATTTTTAGACTGATCATTTCCTTGTGAGTGGGCAAACATTCAAAATCAGCAGGGGATCAAATACTTATTTCTTTCACTGTAGATGCAGTACAATTAGTGAGGAAAGACCTGTAAAAAGGCAGCCACCACATCAAAGGACTGATAAGCTGCTATACTTTTTGTTCTTGATTTAGATATGCTTTATAATGTACATTTAGATATGCTTTATCATTTGTACATTGAACCCCCCCCCCCCCCATTTTCTGGATTTTCTAGAGGATAAGTTCACCTTTCCTAAGCTGTAAAAAAAAAAAAAAAAAAGTGGGGCTCCACCCAGACGCATCACTCATTTACAGAATTCCGTGAATGAGAAACTACAAGTACTGACATCCTTAGCAGCTGTCGGCTTGTAGTTCTCAATGAACTACCACGGCTCTGTGAGCGCTGTGGTAGATGGATTCTTCCGGTCAGTAAGTATTGCCTTGCTTGTCCGAGATACGAGCACACAGATACACTGACAGGTCTGTAGCAGTCCTGCATGGCATCAACCGTCTGCTGATCACTAGTGCAATGCCTTCCAGGCTCCTGCAACAAAAAATAATAAATGCAAATTTTTTACCTGCAAAAAGTGTTTTTTTGTTGAAATGTGAACTTATCCTTTAAGTTGTGACATTCCTGACACATTGTAGCACCCCTTGTACTGTTAGCATCTTTCTGCCTGGTCTCTTCTTATGGCAGATTGGGGAATTGATGTGTAGATTTGAGCATTTCTGTTGAGACGTTTTTACCCTTTAGGAACACTTTATTACATCTGGGTGTATAATTGCAGCAGGACAGGGTTGTGTGACAACAGGAAGGCTTGGGTGTATATTGAGCTCTGGTTCAGTGTTCTCTGACAAAAGCTAAGCAAGTATTTCAGACCTTTCACCGGCTATCAGTCTGCAGCACTAAAAGCATGTGGGAGTATTGACTTTATTTTGATTAGAGAGACTGGCAGTTAATCTCGCCATCTATAAAGGCAGATCCCTGCAGTGGTTCTTGTACTGGATGTGCAGGATGAGATAATACAGAATTCTCTATTGTATGGAGGCCCGGGTCTTCTGTGTACCTTGTCAAAAGGGTGTCTCAGGTGCTAATCTTTTTGGTTTCCAGTAGTATTATCTGATATTCACTGGCACCAAATTGGTTAACAAAACAAATATATTTATGGATTTCTATGCTAGGAAGATGAGCTGAGCACAGGAAGATGCTTAAAGAGCATTAAATTACATCAACTGACCTTCATGTGTAATGTTCCTGAAGTAACCTTTAAGATGGTTATAAAGCGTCACCATTTTTTTTTTTTACCTTAATGCATTCATTGCATTAAGGTAAAAAAAAGTTTAGGAATCCGTATTCCCTCTCACCCTTCCTTTTACTTACCTGAGTCCTCAGTCCTTTTTCTGGGTTTTCAGGTTCTGGTAGCTTAAATGGCTGAGCCGCGATGATGTCACTCCCGTGCATGTGCACGTGAGTCACTTTTTACGGCACACAGCTCTGAAGTTCCGTTCCTTCAGAGCACATGGCGGTACTCTACACAGGTAAATATCTCCTAAACTGTGCACATTTACAGTACCTACAGGCTAGCCTTGCTTGTCTGAAGGTACAAGTGCAAAAACTGACTTTACTACTACTGCTATAACAAGCCATAAATTAGCTTTTTTTTTTTTTTTTTTTTTTTTTTTTTTAAATCTGTCCCTGACCTCTCGAATTGCTTTTAATGTGACATTATTTTTAAAAGTTTACTTCAGACAGTGTACTTATTATTAGTTCCTCCCCCCACCCCCTCTCCACTGGTCTAACAGATCTCAGCCTCCACAAATGGGCAGTAGTCCCATAGAAGTGGCGCTTGTATATTTGAAGCCTCTTCATATTTGAAGGTATGGGGGAGTAGTAAATTGTTACATTTCTTTTGTACATCTACATAACATTTTGAATGCCCACCACACAGACATTAGCAAGTGGTATACTGAAATTCCAAACTAGATTGCCTTGTAACGCTTTTTGTCTTTTGTTTACAATGTAGTATTGCACACTAATAGTTGTTGCCAGATCTGCACTATTTTAACAGTTTATTGCAGTTTCAGCACAATGATGGGCCTTAATCTGCTGCTCACAGGGTGTAGAGCACATTACAAACAGATGGCATGATTTTCTAAACAATTTCAGTTTCAATTGTAAACGCAAACTATTGCCAAAAAGTAGCACTACAGACTTCGGCAGATTAACATTAACATTGTTTTATTTTTTATTGAAAAAAAAATTACATAGTTGTCTATGCAGGACTCCAGGCAGCCATGATTTACACAGATGATCCTCCTGAATCTGTGTTTAAAATGCTTGTATAATTCCAATACAGTTTCAGAAAGACAACTGGTTATATGGAAGGTTTCAAAGATTTACCTAAAATGTGGCTTGTGTGAGCACTTCACTTAATAGAAGAAAAGAACGGTCAAATCCTATAAATGTAGTTGGAGCTTTTGTCTTGTACACATGCTTACCTGTTCATGTCAAATTCAGAGCTATCCCGTGCACACTTCTGTGTTCTCTCAAGGCGTGCATTTATCGTTCCCACTTCTTTTGGGACTACAGAATAAGTCTGATATGCAGAATAGGATAGGGGAGTGGGATTCAGTAGTTTAGTAAAACACACTGCGCAGGGCTGACACCACTCGGTTCACAAAACTGCTGTGTTTTGTCAGCCCACAACAGGATTTAGTGTATTTCTGGGAGATAAACAGGTACATTCTGTACTCGCAGGCTCTTCAGAAGAATAAAATGAGGAAATGTGCATGCATTGCAGAAAGATACATTTTTTTATCTTGCTCTGGCATAATTTAAGGTTGTCATTAATGGGCAATCTTTTCTTTTGATGGCTTATTTAGTATGAAGCCTTCTGTAAGGCCTAGGTAAATTTCTATAAAAAGTGGGAGCAGAGCAATCTGTTTTTACAGAAATGTGTACGTTTTCGTTTTAATGTCTGCTACAGTCAAATAGCATGCTTTGCCTTAAAGTGTTACTAAACCCAGGACCCTGCATTCACTATATCTGGTCTCCCACAGTACACACAACATGGAATTGCAATTATTTTAGTAAATATAAACTGCTAAATACCTTTTCTCATCAGCAGTTAGAGCAGTCTTGTGACTTCTATCAGTGTCCAGCAGAGCATTGGTTAAAGCTTGTAGGAGGAGTTTTCTCTAGAAGGATGCAGGACCCCTGACCTCTATCTGGGCAGTGCTGATTGGCCCTGTGCTGATCACATGCACTCTCCCAAGGGAAAAAAAAAATCTCTCTAGCAATTCACAACAAACTGAGCATGTGCATTGTCTCCACACCATATGTCTTATCAGGAGAAGATAAGTGGAAGAAGGGGAGGATCAGAGAAGACAGGAGCAAACATCCTTTTTACAAAATGCAGAGGATTAACCCCTTAGGTTCCACAGTGAGTATAACAAGTATGCTTTACTGTATATACAGACTGATTTTACTGTGGTGGGTTTAGTAACACTTTAACATATATTTTTCCGCTTAAGTATCAGAAGGTTTTATCCCCTTCATGACCAGGGCATTTTTTTGCTATTCAGCACTTCACTACTTTAACTGACAATTGCGTGGTCATGCAACGCTATACCCAAATGAAGTTTCTATTTTTTTCACACAAATAGCTTTTGTTTGATGGTATTTGATCACCACTTGGGTTTTTTTCTATTATGTAAATCAGGGGTGTGGAAATTTTTGAAACAAATACTTGTCCATGGACTAAATCGGTGTCCCAATCTACTTGTCCCTCTCATGACAATCTACTTGTCCTAATAAAAAAAAAACATTTTAACCAAAACTGTATAAATTTAGTCCAAAATATATTCTTCTACATGTCTCTGGTACAAAATAAACCCCCCCCCCCCCAATATTTATTAATTGGGTTGCGTGAAAGTTGAAGCGCCTACTACTGTGTGTGTGTGTGTGTAATATATATATATATATATATATATATATATATATATATATATATAAACATTTGTTTGACACAGATGTCACTGCTGTTCATAATCTGTATATATCTCCAATAGACAAGCTCTAGTGCTCTGTTGGCCTCCCCGATGGTGTGGCACATACGCCATAGAGTACCCCGTGGCTCTTTGTGATGTGTGTTGTGGGCATCCTAGGAGGCTGTAAGCAACTGCACGTCTACAACTTGCTAAGGCAAGAAACCAAGGAGTGTGGAGAGGGGTCCTCTAGAAGGATGTTTTTATGACTTTGGAAAAAAAACAAATTGTGTGATAGGAAGGCAATGAGAGACTGCTTGGGGAGGATGAAGGTCTGCTTTAACTCATTTCACACTTAACTAAATTATGCAGAACTATTGAAGTTACTGAATGAAGATTTGTGCATTTAAAGATTTGCTGTGATTTGATTTGTGGTGTTCCCTTTGTAATTTGTTTTTCCTTTTCTGTTTCAGGTTTGAGTGGGACAAACTTTTGGAGAATGTTCATTGTCTGATCATAAGTGTAACAAAAACTGACAAGCAGGAAGCTTATGTACTCAGGTATTTATGTTTACAAAAGTTTTTTGATTAGCTTGGTAGTTACAGTGTCACTAAACCACATCATAAATAATTGCTGTATTACATGCTGTTCATACTCAATCACTATGAGATTTGTTTTCTATATTCTGCAAAAAAAAAATCTGGTTGATCCTGCTGCTCTCTATCGCCACCTTCTGTTCATGTCCCCAATTCAGCTAGGGATTTTGTAGCTGTAGTGGCAACTCTGAACATGCTCAGTTTTCAGTGCGTTACTATGGTGAGCATTTCCTCCCGGTCACATCTGAGCAGCTAATGTGACTATAGCATCACATGTGGGCATATACACAGTGGTAGATGACAGCCTACTCCCCTCCCCTTCTCCTCCATGCCCGCTAACCAGCTAAACACAATGGGGATGGGATATTATGTGTAGATTAATGGAGGAATCCCCTCCCTCTTAGACTCCAATGTTTTTCTACTGGCAGCAGAAAAGAAAAAGCTAAACGTGGCAAACACACATGTAAATGCGGTACTGCAGTTAGTGCTTGGTTGTACAGTTCTTTGGCTAGAGTACTTGCCATTGAAGCGAATAAATGCTCAAGTGCTAAATGTGGTTAGCTCTTAGGCGCATTTACACTCGTTTTTGCCACGTTTAGCGTTTGTTGGCCAAAATGTTCCCTTCCTGAATGCAGATCTTCTGCGTTTAGGAGAGGGACATTTAACTGTCTATAATCTCTGCTGCTGTTAAACTGTGATAAGTCTGTGTACATGGATACACAGGCTTTTATTGAGTTGAGCTCAGGGGCTTTGGCAAAATACGCCAAAAGCTCTTGAACGTACGTTTGAGTAGCAGTGTACATGAGGCCTTATTCTAAGGCACAGTCCGGAGAGTTGTGACACAGCCTGTGACTGGCAGAAATCCACCCACACCATGTTATTTCTACAAAATAGATTTGATTTCAAATATATAATTGTATACCAATTTAAAACCGTTTGATACTTTATATTTTTACTCAGTATTCGAAAGGCGTGTTTTTTAAACATGTGACCAGCAGCAGAGGACTAGACGCTCCTCCTGCTTATGTTTCCCTGCAGACAAGCAGGGAAAGATCTGGGCCATATGACATCTGTATATCAATTAGGAAAAGCTACCTAGATGTTTTTTTTTTTTCTTTTTTTAATTAAAACCATTAGTGCCATAATACACATACAGAAATTGAAGGGACAATGTAAATTAAACAGTGTGTGTGTTTAATATCATTTTAATTGGTATACACTTCTAAAGGACCAATGTGACAAAAATTCAGCTTACGTTTTTTTCTATTTTTTGAGAGTTCATATGGGGAAGCACTGACATGAATCTTCTCTTGCTTCAGTGCCCACAGGAAAAAGGCCATAATTTGAATGTCTAACTGCAACCTTTTTCAGGGGCAGATGGTGCTGTGTAGGAAATGTCCTTTTCACTAGGATCATACTTGGTGTAGTTTCACTTCTGTAGCCAAATTGGGATAACACCTACTTTATATTTGCTACATGTTCTCATTCACATAGTACAACTTAAAAAAATCTATATATATATATTTAAAGTTTGCCTCTTACCTTTTTCTAAACGCCCTTTTTAAAAACTCCAAGACTGCTTGGCTTCCTCTTTTCTGTAGTGTTTGAGGAGCTGGGAAGTTAAGTTTAAAATTAACTCTGTACTGTGCTAACATTTCTCATTATATGTAAACTATATTTGAAACACTCAAGGCAAAACTAGAGTGCAAAGATCTGGAGCAATAAAAACCTAATATAAATGCACACTCTATGCATTTGCATGTACCCAGGGAATAAGGTGCAGTGTGCACAGTCAAATGTGCACTGTGAGCAAAATCTGGGTCTAGTGGCATTGCTATTTCTATAATCTTCCTCCTGGATGATGGTCAGGCCAGGTGTTGAAGTATACTGTCTCCCATATAGCAGTTGAGAGTGAGCGAGTGCACTGCACATGCCAGCGGTACAGCACACAGAAGCGAGCACGCTTCTGCTGCTGGGAGTGAGTGTCTAATATTTGGAACAGGGTGAGACTGGTCACCTCAGTGGGAATTTTTGTGGCAGGTTTTGGGGATGTCAGTTATGGCCAATGGCAAGGCATTACAACTAAGGACATTATTAAATTATTATTATTAAGGACATTATTAGTGAAAAAAGTAAGCTTGGCCTTTAATTTGGTCATCTTTGTTCCCTGCCAAACAAAAGTTTACCTGGGTATCAGTGGCAGGCTCATTTTTGGGTCACTCTCTTGCAATTTCCCACTTTGCTTATTTCATTAGCTATATTTCATGAACTTTTTTAACGTCATTTCTGCTAAGCAGCTACAGTTTTGTCAATAAAATTGTCAATATTTGCCTTCTCTTCAGATAGTTAATATATTTAACACCCTGCATACATCCCACCTCTCTCGGGCACTGAAACTCAAAAGCTCTGTTAGTGTAAATCTCAGCCAGCTTTTGTGTTGAAGGGGTGGACCTGGTTGCGTCCTGTACCTCACCATATGGACGTTACACTGCCCATCATACAGCCAGTCACTTGGGTGGAAGAGCAGGGGCTGGTGCTCAAACTCCTAACCATTTGAGCTTTCAACATTTGAATAACAATTAGCTAACCAATCGACTTCTGTACAACTGCCCTGTTGGAACATTTCTGCTCGATCAGTGCTGCTGGCTGTAGACAGCAGCGCTGATCAGTGTATTCTGATGGTGGGAAAGTCTCCTCCCTGTCAGAATATGAAGGCCTAGCATGGAGGATTCCCCTTCTACGTTCAATATGTTGATGAGTCTTTTTTTTATTTTTAATCTATGTGCTGCTTTAATTTCCAATGCAACCTTATCTCTTAGGCCCAGATGTGTGTATGTGCACTGATCACTTGTCAAAGTAGAGTAATCTGCCTAAGATAATGCCCTCCATTGGGCATGACTTGTTTCCTGCCTGAGCTCTAGACTGATAAGACACTTGGGCTGGTAAAGAAGAGTGAAACTATCAATTAACAAAGGTTTGTTTCTTTCCTGTAATCAAATCTCATGAGCTTTGAATGTATGTTGCAACACTGAGCTCGGGCAAGAGACAGGTCATCCTTACAGCCTAACATGTCACTTAGTGACTACAGTGCTTAATGAGAGACTACCTGCTTATACACACAGGATCATTTCAAGTGCTCTAATAAAAGGAACTGCTGAAAGCAATTAGCCAAGCCCTTGAACAGAAAATTACATGAGGGAGTCCTGTACATAAATTGTGTATCGATGTTGTTAATGATGCCATGGTTAGCCCTCTTAAACCGAACTACAGACCCAATTTTAGGTGAATTTGTTTCTCTTCCATTTCCCTGTGACACCAATAGGAATTGAGTTCTGTCAGCAGGACAGGCACAGACAGCAATATGAAAACATTTTTGAGGTCCTAACCTTTTCTCATTCCTGTTTTTGGTTGTATCCCTTTTGGTGAAATGTTCCATATCCTTGGTAACAGAAAATAATGGGTAATACTCCCTAATAGGGACACTCTAATCTCCTCCAATGTATCAAACAAAATAGGTTTTGGAGTTGGACTTTGAGTTTAAATCTGCTAAACTACACCTTAGTTCAGCAGCTTGAGTAATAATATATTTAAACAGTTTTCCCCCGAAAGAAATACAGAAAAGTTCTTTAAAGTGGCTGTAAAGCTTTGTTTTTTTTTCTTTGTTTTTTTCTTGTTTTTTGTTATAAAATAACAAACGTCATACTTGCTGTGTGCAGTGGTTTTGCACACTGCAGCCTTGATCCTGTTCTTATCGTGGCTCTGCTGGTTCCTCCCCCTCGAGCGGTGCCCCCCAGGGAAAGCCTCTTGCCCTGGGGTGCATGGCTGCATGCTTGTCCCTGAGCCTCTGCTCTTTGCATCCATATGACACAGAGCCATGGTTCGGCCCCACCCTCGCTCTCCTCTCATTGGCTCACTGGCTGTGATTGACAGCTCCTGTTGCTGTCTCAGCCTATGAAGAGTAAGAGTCCCAAGAGAGCAGAGACTGTCATGAAAGTCGCTGGAACGGAGGGGGCTCAGGTAAGGACTGAGGGGGGTGGGGGGAGGCTACACACAGACTTTATTTTTTTTTTTTTTTACCTTAATGCATAGAATACATGAAGGTAAACCTTGAGCCCTTAGAACCACTTTGACGCAAGCCTGTGCATTTCTCTAATCCTCCACTTCCAGGACTTAATACAGTACTTGCCTTTTACTAAGCTACTCTGTCGCTTCATTCAGCATTGAGAATGAACAGAAAAAACCCAGTACTTAGGGTTTAGAGACGCATTCAATAAGAGGTGGACAAATCAGTGCTGTCGCAGGGAAGTTTATAGCCCTGTGTGAGTTAATCTCGAGTGACTTGAAGCACACATAGGTCTTTGCTTTCCTCACCTGAAGGCTGAATGGAGCAGCCGAAGAGCAAAAAGAAGGAAAATATGAGTGTGGTGGTCTGCATTAAAGTGAGCCTGTTTCTTTACCCTGCACTCTGAATTTTATGCCTAAGTCTGTATATAAATGAACCCTAGTCTGTCCAGTGTATAATGGCGCTTACCATTTACTTAATGCTTACAAGTGGTAATTTCATAGTGCGCTCTATTTGCTGCAAAATGTCTTACCTTTTTTATTTGTGTTTTTTTTTTTCTTTTATACAGTGAGAGTAGCATGTTTGTCTCCAAGAGACGTTTCATTTTGAAGACATGTGGTACCACCCTCTTACTGCAAGCACTGGTTCCCCTGTTAGAGCTCGCTAGGGAGTACTGTGGGTTTGATTCCATTCAGGTAAGTTGAGTTCTTTTGGGTAAGACTAGTTTAGACCAGAAGTGATTGCTTACAATGTCAAGGGAAGTGTATTAGATTCGAATTGAATAATTTTATATATAACCTATATTTGCTCCATATTGCTGGTAAGTCATTTTTTTTTAAAGAGTTGCATATCGCCAATACACAAACTTTCCTAAACATGTGATTATTGTAAAGATACCAAAAGTTATGTTCAGTATTTTACAGCCCCTTTGGGTCCTCTTCATTAGGCAGAGATTTTTTTTATTAACAGATCTATCATTCGTATCCATGCAGACCAACAGGGTACATGTTGAATTATCAAATCATATACTATAAATCAGGGCTTACAATTTCGAGTCTAGACCTACTAGCCAGGCACAAACCTTACTCTCCACCAGTTGCCCCACCCAACCTTGCCCAAGCCTGCCCCCAGCCCTGCCCCCAACCACACCCCCTTAAAGCTTATGAAATTACATTTTGTCTTTAGAATAGATTCTAATAGCTGGTTTACATAATCAAGTCTCATAGTGGATAAGAGGCCAGACTGAGCCTAGAACCTAATTTATGAAACCTATGTAAACATGTAATGTGTATTCACAGCATCTCTTTTATATTAGAAAGTCACATAACACGTTTTCTGCCATTAAAGTATTAAAAAAAGGACACAACGTGTTAATAACTGGATGTAAGGTCTATCCATAGATATAGGACAATTGTCACCGAATCCTGGCAGACTGCCAGAGGCATCCCCTGGTGACCATTTGTTGCATATACTATGTGTATGTTCATGTCACTGATGTGTAAAGGTATGACACCATGTCTGGTGAAGACAACTCTGTATTCTAAAAAGCTTACACTAAAGTATATTAGGTTAGCTAGCAAAAAGGTGTTGCTTACATTTTCACATCCTTTCTACTATCTATGGCTAACATGGCATATTATTATTACCGTATTGATTACAGACACCAAGAGAAAGCACTATGCAAGTTTTCAGGTACTACTAAAAGCTATACAACATGTACAATAGGGTGTTTAATAAAAGATTAAACTTTATAAAAACTGTAGGAGTAGATGATGGACCTCCAACTGTACACAAAGAATGTACAAATAACCATACATAAACTGAAGAAAATTTCCACAGACCATACCCAAAAATACAAGGTCCCCCCCCGCGGCGGTGGAGAGCGGGGGCCTCTCCTCGTGTCCCCCGCGGCGGTGGAGAGCGGGGCCTCTCCTCGTGTCCCCCGCGGCGGTGGAGAGCGGGGCCTCTCCTCGTGTCCCCCGCGGCGGTGGAGAGCGGGGCCTCTCCTCGTGTCCCCCGCGGCGGTGGAGAGCGGGGCCTCTCCTCGTGTCCCCCGCGGCGGTGGAGAGCGGGGCCTCTCCTCGTGTCCCCCGCGGCGGTGAGGGTGTCTCCTCTCAGCGGAGGAGAGTGGACCTCTCCTGCAACTGTCCCCTCAGCGGTGCTGCCAGTGTAATGGCGGTGCCGAAGAAACCGAAGTTGGAAACCGGAACTCGGCTTCACAATGAGGCTTGGAGCGCAGGTGCAGCCGCTCCATCCATCTGTGCTTGCCACACAGGAATTTCTCCTCGCATTTGGCGAGCGGCTTTTTCAAGCCCTGCAATAAATACACAATAATTAAACTTGTTGGTTATCGATCATTAAGCAAGCTTTTGTTTTCAGACAGAACCTCCAGTTGATTTGCATATAATCAGCAAGGCATAGAGGAAGCACAGCATGTCTATGTAGTTTGTAAAGTTGGCTATCCTATCTAGTGTGTGTGTGTGTGTGTGTAAAATGAGAAACCATACAATTAAATGTATCTAAAAACACAGTGACTCTTATTATGCTGACTTTTACATGTATAGCAGAAACCTTAGAGACTTTAGTTTCCATTAAGGAAAATCATTAAAGTATTTAAAGTGGTATTGAACCCAAAAGCAAATTGTATTTTGCCAGGTCATCCTGCCACTTAGTCTATTTTTCAATAGAATAATCTGTCCTGCAGATGTAGCAGTTGAAGGGTTGAGACAAACTAACACTGACAAGGGTGCTTACAATGGTCATCTTTTATTTATGTAAAACCTTTATCCCAAAAGGAACAAAACGGTTACTCTAACTAAATTGTTAGCTACAACTTGACTTAGTGTATTTAAATCTGCTAATGCATCTTACTACCCCCCCCCCCCCCCCCCCCCCCCCCCCCCCCGACGGCAGTACGTCTGTCTAAAGGTGCTGCTACTTCATCCAGGATGGGGGCACTCTAATATAGGAGTTTTGTTATTTGCCAGATCAGTGGGTGAAAACAAAAGGGGGGGAGCCTAACCTAATGCATCCACCACATATTCCCACCGACCACTTTATTAGATACACCTGTTCAATTGCTTGGTAAGACAAATTGCTAATCAGCCAAACAGATGGCAGCAGCTCAATGCATTTAGGCATCTAGATGTGGTGAAGATGACTTGAGGATCAAACATGAAGCATCAGAATGGGGAGGAAAGTGGGTTTAAGTGATATTGAACATGGCATGGTTGCTGGTTCCAGACAGGCTGGTCTGGGTATTTCAAAAACTGCTGATCTCCTGGGATTTTACACACAGCTATCTCTAGGGTTTACAGAGAATGGTCTGAAAAAGAGAAAATATCCAGTGAACGGCAGTTGCGTGGATGAAAATGCCTTGTTGATGTCAGAGGAGAATGGGCAGACTGGTTCCAGATGATAGAAAAGCAATAGTATCTCAAATAATCACTCGTTACAACCAAGGTATGCAAAATACCATCTCTAAATGCACAATATGTCAAACCTTGAAGCAGATGGAACCTTACAGCAGTAGAAGACTACACCAGGTGCCACTCTTGTCATCTATGAACAGGAAACGGAGGCTGCAATTTGCACAGGCTCAAAAAAATTAGACAATAGAAAACTAGAAAAACGTTGCCTGATCTGATGAGTCTCTATTTCCCTAGAGATGGTTGTGCATGGAAATCCCAGTAGATCAGCAGTTTATGAAATACTCATACCAGCCCATCTGAAAGTGGCATGGTTGTTGGTGCCAAAGTCACTTAAGTCCCTGTTCTTCCCCTTTCTGATGCTCGGCTTGAACTTCTCCAAGCAATTGAACAGGTGTACCTAATAAAGTGGTCAGTGAGTGTATAATGCTTGGTAAGCTGCAATATGACATTCTTGGTTTTGGGTCTAATATGGCTTTGAAGATATTCTTGGTCAATTCAAAGGCAAATGTAATTGTTCAGGCTGCTTTACTAGTGTTGCTGATTTCTACCATAGCTTTTCTGTTGCCTAGTCTGAATTTGTTTTACCTTTTAATGTTTTTTTGGCCAAATCATTTTTTTATTTTAAAAGGTTTAATGTCTTATTTTGTAGAACTTTTTTTATTCACGGAAAAATTTTATGAAACCAGACCACCAGGAATACCCGCACAGAAATTTCCAGGAAGAAGTTGAATTCCTAAATGAAATCTTTCCAAGTAAGTTGTATGTCTGTCACTAGGGATGATTGTTGTGTGACTTGTGGTGTTGCAGCAGAGGGCAACACTTATTTTAATTTGAACTTCAGACTTTCTCATTTGGAATATTTTCTTTGTGTTTGTAAATGTTTTCTAACACTCTCATTGGTTTCTCTTTGATTTCTATGGGATAATGGTCATTGGGCAGATAACTAGGACCTTTAATAATGCTTCTGAAGCATTCTGAAAGTTATTTTACATTTTTATTCCCCAATTTTAGATGGAGCAGCTTATTGCATGGGACGTATGAATTCTGATTGCTGGTAAGTTTGCTTGTTTGATGTTTTTGGAAAAAGGAAGAGGGGAGGGTATAGATTATGGATCAGTGTGGAAAGACACCTGGTCATTTGCTGTGAAACTTGTGTAAGGGCCTGGGTTGGCTGTTTTTTGTTTGCACCAGAATTGTTACTCTCCTCATACAAGTTAATAAGAATACAAAAGCATGTTTATGGAGCTTGTCAGTTGCAAGTTAGAATGTTAAATGCACCTGGATGTTGAGGAAAAAACACCCCCAACAACTGAAATAAAGTAAGATGTGCTGCTGGAGTTGGATTTATACTTTCTTTATAAAGGACTCTGTACTTGCAAAATACACGTGGGTAGGACATCCTGTGTACTTGTTTTCAGATTAGGGATTCTGCTGGATACTTTTCAAGATTGTGTACATGAGGGCTGTGTGTGTAATAAACTGGCTTCTTTAATAAAGCTGTGCAAAGAACCATAACGCCCATTGCAATTTTTTACATGACCTGACAAAACTAATGCCCCGTACACACAGTAAGAAATTAGTACGAAAATTTCACAGAACCACTGATCGAACGATTTTCTCTTTGTTGATAAGCAGGATGTTTTAACCGATGATATTGTGAACGAACAAATCCGGTTGAACAACAGTGAAAATTTGTAATTTTGCATACGAACGACCGTTTTTCTATGTGGTCTATCAAGCGCTATCACGAGCGTAAATAGAAGATGACTCGGATGTTTATGTCCAAGGAATCGTCGTAAACACGAATGAAAAATCCAAATGTTAAAAGTAGATTGGCCTAATGAGATAATGAAACCAGATTTATGCATATTCTGTTTTTATATATCACTATTTATGTATATAGATAATGTATTCTATATTATACTCATTGCTGTTAATTGTGTATATCGCCTGTTCTGGCCGGAAGGGCGTGGCTACAAGGTCACATGCACACTGCATCACTTCCACTTGTACGGAAGACGTCAACACTACGTATTGCCCAACGAACGATTTTTTTAGATTGGGTAATGTGGGCTACGATTTCGACAATGAACGAACGCCTCTCAGTCATCGATGACAATCGGTCGATTTTCTAATTGTGTATTCCCACCTTAAGGCTACTTTCACACTGATCCGTGGCAAAAACACACATGCATTTTTTAAGGACACGTGACTCAAAACCAGCACCAAAATAAGAGACGTGCGTTTTTTATGTGTTTTCTATTGATTTCATTGTGGAGGTGCGTTTTTTGGTGCAGTTTTTCACTGCACCAAAATGCAGCAAGCAGGACTTTGAAAAATGCACTGGACCCACAACGGATCAGTGTTGGGAGTTCCATAGGAATTTATGGTCACATGTTTTTCTGACGCTTTTTTTTATTTCAAAAGCAGAAGAAAAATGGATCCGTGTGAAAGCAGCCTAAAGTAAAATCTGGTTACTCTCTAGGCTGTTACACAATATTTGCACCAGTTTTGGGGAAAGGTTAAAATCCCCCCTGTAGCGAAGGTCTTATTCAGCATAATGGTCTGCAGTATGAAATATAGTAAGTTGGAGGTTTTTCCACTATTATGGTTCAAGTACAGGCTGAAGACAGACCTTATAAACAGCTGTAAAAGTAACAAACTACTGTCCTTTGTTTTCTTTTTAATAGGTACTTGTATACTCTGGATGTCCCAGAGGGTTTTGTCATCAATCAGCCAGACCAAACACTGGAAATTTTGATGAGTGAGCTTGACCCAGAAATAATGGACCAGTTCTACATGAAAGATGGTGTTACTGCAAATGATGTCACTCGTGTAAGCTGAACTTAAATTGTAAACTTCCCTATTGCACTGCAACTTCTGAAAAATGAATGTCTTGGTTGACTTAAAGTAGAACTAAAAGCCACACATTTCATATTGGATAGAGGAGATTTCCCTTTGCCTCCTGTCCCATAGCCAAAACAGGAAGTGAGAAAATGTCTCAAGTGTGTGAATCCCCAATTGTTGCCAGAACCAGTGTCCCCATTGAAAGATTTCCCCTCCATTCCTGTTTTGGTGACAACCCCAAATTTGGGATTTTTCACTTTCACTCTCTCTCACTGGGTGGTCTCACTGGACAGTAGGATAGTGGTATTAGAAGATGGATAAGATCAAAATTACAGAAGACGTGATCAAGCATCTGGAGGTACCAGCTCTGTGCAAATGGTTAGAGTATGAAATATAGAGTGAGCCCACAGATTTCTCTTGAAAGAATGCCTTCAAATCACAGCTGTTTTAGCATTTCTATTAAAAAAAGAAAACTTTTGTTTTCAGATGAGTGGAATTCGTGACCTGATACCAGGTTCTGTCATTGATGCTACAATGTTTAGTCCTTGTGGTTACTCAATGAATGGGATGAAATCAGATGTAAGTATTTTTAGAATAGATTGGATTACCACTTTCATCATGTGATGTGTATTCATGCTTTCTTAATATGTTTATTTTGTTAATTTAGGGAACTTACTGGACTATTCACATCACTCCAGAGCCAGAATTTTCCTATGTTAGCTTTGAAACTAATGTGTCGCAGACAAGCTATGATGATTTGGTTAGTAAAGTTGTGGATGTGTTCAAGCCAAGGAAATTTGTGACCACCCTCTTTGTTAATCAGGTAAGGCTTAGTGATAGTGAAACCAAAAAGAGCATAAGGACAGGCTTTTCTTTGAAAATTTAGATTTTTAATGCTTAGTTTGAGCGCCATTCGTTTACTGCTCTTGAATAATGTGTGTGCATGACTTAATTGTGACCCTGAAAAACATGCAAATGATTCAAATTGATAAACAAGACTTTTCAGACCCATTCTTGTTTACCCTTTTGTGCATTAACATGTGCTGTGTTAAGGCAGCGCCTTTAATGGACCCTCAACACGTGAAATGATGCTCCTGCACTGTGACAAAGCAATAACATCCGTGTATTGCTGTGTGCTGTAATATAAATGATTTCCTTATGTACAGTGTATGCACTGGGGTGCCATCCAATATGGCAGTGCAAACAAATGGCGTTACTGGAGCAGCTTTTGCCAGAACTTTGCTTTTGCACTACTTGTTGCAATGCATAGATGTGAATGCAGCCTAAATTGCTTATGTGAGATTAATTTACAAGACCTGAAACTGGGACGTTTGTTTTCAAACTTGCAGCTGAGCCCTTTCAGCTTTATTATAAGCACTTTAGTTTGAGAGCTCATTGTGACATTAAGATCAGGCAGCATACCCAAATTTTTAAAACTAAGGCTAGTCATACATGATTGTTTTTTGATTTTTTTTTTTCATTCAACCAACAGGTTGACATAAGAGAAGCTCTCAATTAAAAAAAAAAAAAACAACAAAAAAAAAAAACCACATGCTTACCTACGAATCAGTCCGATTCTTGATCTGTCCCCTGCCAGCTCTGCACAGAGAACTGAGTGATCAAAGACTGTTGATTTCTCAGTCTTCAGTGAACCTATGTCTGTCAGTCATTGGCTCTCTGCCCTGCCCCTCCAGTGCTCACTGGAGCTTCGGACTGTGGAGGGGGCGACTTGCTGAGACAACTGCCAGTAAGGAATCTGGGTGGATTCTGACTTTAAAATCAGTATCTCTCCAAAGCCTGGACCAGCTCAGTGACATCAGCTGACAGTGGGCTTTAACAGAACTAAAGTGCATTCCTGTGATCCACAGGAGAAGTGGGGCCAAAGGAGCTTTGTCCCTACTTCTCAAAAAAAAAAAGAAAAAAAAGATTCCCCCATCCTCACATTTGATGTGGATGGGGGAATTAGTCCTGCTGTTGCAGAATACAATGATCAGTGTTGCCAGCTATAGCCAGTGGCATTGATCATTGGGAAAACCCAACAGGCTGGTTGATTGACTTGTGTACAACCAGCTAGCCTATACATGGATTGGAACTTGGCTGGTCTCTGCTGAACCGGCTGAATTTTGATCAACGTATGGCAGGCTTAAGGCAATATTGTCTTTTGTATTAGTTTAATTCCATGTCCATAGTTCAAGCTCTTTAACTATATTTTTCTCTCCCCCACCAGAGCTCCAAATGTCGTACTGCATTCACTTGTGCTCAGAAGATTGATGGCTTCAAGCATCTAGATCGCCAGTTTGCTCAATTCAATGATTACAATTTTGTGTTTACCAGTTTTGCTAAATGCCAGCCACAGCAGAGTTGATTAGAGAAAATGAAGAAGCGTAAAAAGAAAACCAATATAGCGGGTGGTGGGTGCTTGCTAGCTAATGTTGCCAGGATCCATCTTTTCCACAACCATCACCTAGTAGCTGGAAGCCTTGACTATAATCCTAATAGAAGTTTGAAATGTATCCATTATTATATTAAGGAGTTAGGTAATTTGCATGAATGCTCTCTCCTGTGTGTAGGTATTCTATGCCACTCTTGCTGTGAAATTGAAGTGCATGTAGATAAGTTAAAAGCATACTGTACTAGACTGTATCATAATTGTAAAAATGCACATAGTTCAACAGACAGCATAGGTTTTCTACAGGTGTCGCCAAAAATTCCCCACAGACAAGGCTTTCGTCCCCATTAGTCTGTCCTGTGTCCACATAACTTGTTTGACTTGTGATTTAACTGTAGAGTTACGTGTGCCGTATTTTCACTGGGAACACTTTCTGGCTATATGTAATTCCTTTTTTCACAAATTAGTTCCGTTTTTTAATACGGATAGCACCTAGATGAAACTGTAGAGGATATCACCATATTTTTGTATTTACCATGAAAATACAAATGCCCACCTCCTTGAGCACTGTAGTAATGGTTTAGAATGCAGCCTTTATCTATATTTTGCATTACGTGGGCAGCTGACCATAGGGAAACATTAATTGATCAAAATGTTAAAAAAAGAGGAAGATGAAGTATTGTAATACAAGTGAATTTGGCACAAAATGTTTGAAAGCTTTTATGGTGGCAGCCATTTCCAGACTTGGTGTCACACAATGTTAAAGTGGACTTAAACTCTTAAGTTAGATGACTTTTACACAGTTAGTGTTGGATAGGGAATGGGGGTATCCGTGCCCATGCTCTTTTCTGCTGCATTAAGCAGTTTCCACAGCAGATCTGGATCATGTAATCTAAACCCAACATGATGGGTTGCGTGACCTGCATCAGCTCTAAATTATGGTACCAATGTCAGGGTCTATTTTTATTCCCAAGACTCAACTGAGGTTGGTGCACTGCAGCTACAGCTCCAGATTGTGTGAACTGGAATGCCATAAGGTAACTTTATAGAGATCTTTTTAGACTATATAACTTTATAGAGATATCCATATCCTCCCTCTCAGTGACTGCCTAATTGAGTAAAAAAAAGACTTGATTTCAGAGTTTAGGTATGCTTTTAAGGTGACTGTTTATTGCAGCTTCCATTGGAGGTTTTTGATACAGGTGTTTTGCTGTGCTTCCTTTAGGTCATGTAATGCGCAAGCATTTAGAAGAGTAAACAACTAGTTTTATTAGTGCCCATATATATTGCATTTGCCTGCTAAAAGGGTGGAATTGTCTGCAAAGATGTATACACTGATTTGCACAAAATAAAATATTGTAGACACTTGTAGTATGCTAATATAGATGCTTTGTTACTGGCATCATTCACCCCAAACAAATACATGGATAGAAGTAAAGTCCCTTTTCTGCAGCTTCATGACAGCCAGTAGTTGAGGAGCAAGTAGAAGAGGAGCAAGCAGATCATGGTAAGCTGGTGAGGAGTAAGCTGCTCATAGCAGAATCCTGGTAGGGCAGAGCTGCATTCCAGAGTGTTAAATCTGCTGACAAGGTAGTGGTTGATTGCTGTAAGTGCAAATTTTAAACTGTAGGCAGGTGCTTTTGCCCAAAAGCAGTGGAGGGGTCTGCCACTTAATCACTATTACTTTATGAGCTGTTTTATTGGTCATAAAGGCTTTGTGCTGTGTCAGACTGGCTTGCTTAGAAGTGATTCTAAAGGTAAAAATTTTCTTTAAAAAAAAAAAAAACATTTTATACTTACCTGGGTACTTGGGTCTCCTGCTGGCGCTCCTGGCTACTCGCCCCCATAGCAAGCCACTTATTATGGGGACACTCATACATGCATGTTCCTGAGCTAGCTCTGGGTGTCCATTGACAGAGTGTGACTTGGCATTGCTCCCTGCACCCTCCTCACTGGCTGTGATAGACAGCAGGAGGATCCAGTGGTTCCTGCTGTGGCCTCTGTCTGAGGGGAGAGAGATGGAAGAGCCCCTGCTGTACTGCACATCGCTGGAGCAAGATCCAGCTCGGGTAAGTATAGGGGGAGGTGCTTGCAGAAGGTTTTTTACCTTAATGCATAGAATGCATTAATGTAAAAAACAAAAACCTTGTACCCTTTTAGAACTGCTTTAAAACTACATCTTGTAAGAGGATAACAACCTTGAAGGGGAATGTCCTTGGACATCCCCACATTTCATTCCATGTAAAAACGCTGCATGTTTTGGGTGGTTTCATTTGTAACTTTGTGGGTTCCTGATATGCATCTTTATGAGCATCTTTTCTCCACCCTCTGTAGGGCTTCGTTCACTGCATTGTAAAATGACCTTTGCTGTAATTACTTGTTAATAAATATGCACCTGTACGTCTACATAGGCTCAGTCTGCCCAGAATAGATAGCAATAAAACATGCCCTATTGCCTCTCATAACACTAATCATCTGTGTACTTGGATACATGCACCACATGTATGACATGTAAGCAGTGGGTTTCATTCAAAATGCAGAAAATAAAAAAACCTGGTGCACAGAGAGCCCCTGTGGGCAAACCTCTACCTGAGCAAGTGATTCATAAAGCTCTGCAGTAAAATAACATCTGGTGACAGGTCTTGAATAAAGGCAATTAACTAGCCTAATTCAAATTGTGATGCAGTTTTGGGACTTGGCTCTTCTGGGCCTTCTAAAATCTGTTACACAGATATCTGGTTCATGAAATGAAGGGATTAGTTACAGGTGAATTGGAAGTTTGCAGTCTCAATATTCTGACAGTGGTTTCACTGTTGGCCTGGATTGTTCTCTACAAAACTGTAATTATTTCTGATTGTGCAGGAACAATATGCTGTAAACCAGTCCAGATATTGCCTTTCATTTGTCACTCAAAAAGGGAACCATGTGACATTGTGCATGTGACTACTCTTCTGTATTTGACAGTGTTGTGACCTCTCCTTTGTGAAATGGTGTAATGAATACTTTTTTATACTTAAGTACCATCATGTAATTTGAGAAATAACTGGGAAATCTGGACTGGTAATATTTAAATTAATAAGTAAAAGCATAATTTAAATTCTATAAGGCAGTAAGGATCAACTTAAACTTTTCAGAAAGTGGCTGCATTTTTTGATGCAAGTGTATTTGCAGGAGTAACATTTGTTGCTTTTAACCCTACATCTTAATATTACTTTATCCATTCTGGATATGATATAGCACTAGCTTTGGTGGTGTTAGACACTGTTAAATGTCTGTGCATTTGGAGGCTTCATTCCAGATGTTTCTGAGCATTTTGTTGCTTGAATAGGCTATTTGAACATGTATTCATTTTGAGGACCAATATTTGATATTTCCTTAATGTCTAAATTATTGCAAGCCCCTCTGTTACTGTACATTAAGCACAGGTAAAGAACCTAAGCATACCACATCAAATTATACTGCTGACCTATTTGAGGGTGGAATAAGATCATTCACTGTATTTAGATTCTCTAGCTCAATAGGATGAGGGGAAACTGTGTCTTTATTTCCTCTACATTGTTTAATCATTGGACCTGTATTGAAATTCTGTACCACAACCTAAAGCTTCAATAAAGTGCTTAATTCATGAGTCATTGATTGGGGTTATCCTTTAATTTGAGTTGTGTTTATTTTTTTTTTTTTTTTTCTTTCTTTTTTACACCTTTGGGACTGTGAAGGAGGTGTGGGTGGGACAGAACACACATGGAGTGCAGTGGTACACAAGGCTTTTGAGTGATTTGGGGGGCATTTGATAGGTATAGCAAGGGTTAAGTCCGGGGGCACACAGCAGAGGGGCAGTTCAGGCAGGCAATGGGTAAAGTCTGGGCACACAGCAGAGGGCAGTCCAGGCAGGCAATAGGTAAAGTCCGGGCACACAGCAGAGTGCAGTTCAGGCAATGGGTAAAGTCTGGGCACACAGCAGAGGGCAGTCCAGGCAGGCAATAGGTAAAGTCCGGGCACACAGCAGAGTGCAGTTCAGGCAGGCAATAGGTAAAGTCCGGGCACACAGCAGAGTGCAGTTCAGGCAGGCAATAGGCAAAGTCCGGGCACACACAGCAGAGTGCAGTTCAGGCAGGCAATGGGTAAGTCCAGGCACACAGCAGAGGGCAGTCCAGGCAGGCAATAGGTATGTCCAGGCACACAGCAGAGGGCAGTTCAGGCAGGTAATGGGTAAAGTCCAGGCACACAGCAGAGGGCAGTTCAGGTCTTCAGAGAGCCGTGTGTCTTGGCTGCAGCTTCAAGATTACACAGACAATGTAGAACCACAAGTACCAGCAGTGCACAAAGCACAGTTCCATGCATCTCCAGTTAGCCCTGCAGCCATAAGCATCTCTGTCCATCCTGACTCAAGCTCTGCCCATTCTAAGAGTCCTTCTCCCCACATAGGTCATTTCCATTTCCTCAAGCCAGCCCCCCCCCCCCCCCCCCACACACACACACCAGCACCATTTCTTTTTTCTTGGGTATCTTCAACTAATTTAAACACTGCTTGAGCTATTTTACAGCACATCTATCCAAATCAGCGAATCCTCAGTAACAGCTTTGTATGCCATACAGGGATCTCAGTAGGTTGAAGATTGCAGGACTAGACTGATATTTGACCTTTGGGCACTGGACTCTGCATTGTGATGCTTTCCAGACCTCTATTTACGGTTCCCTGCAGAGTGCTCTCCAGTTCAGAGCCATTGCACAGCCTCTGGTATAACCAGTCTCTGAAAACTTCATTTGGTTTTGGAGTAAGGTCATTCAGGCTGAAGCTGATCAGTGTTTGGAAGCTGTGCCAAGACCAGCACATCTATCCAAATCAGCGAATCCTCAGTAACAGCTTTGTATGCCATACAGGGATCTCAGTAGGTTGAAGATTGCAGGACTAGACTGATATTTGACCTTTGGGCACTGGACTCTGCATTGTGATGCTTTCCAGACCTCTATTTACG